ATCAATACTTTTGAAACATGAAAAATGTGTTGAAAACAAAAAAAAAACTTTAAAAGTATACATGATCTACGAAACTTTATTTACAATAAATATTATACTTCGAGGTCGGTAAAATCTGAAGAGTAGGAAACGACTCCGTTCTACGTTGTATTACCCAGTTCGCCATTTTCGAGAGACATTATAATGTTGAGTGGAAATATTTGAGAAACAAACCAAAATATTTAACTTACCGAACTTACTATGTAAACCCAGCAGATCTCATAAGAAGAATGTTGACTATAGACGTTGTAAACAAATTATAACGCGGTAAAAAGAAATTTTCTTTTCCAAAGAACGCCAAACGCTTTCTCTTCTAAGCGTATCCCGGAATGGCTGTCGTTGTCCGTGCGTTCGGTTATGGAAACCCCGCACAGCGTTTATTCACTGTTGCCAATATTCGTGAAACCAAATTACAAAGAGGCTATAAGCTTACAATACAAATTATTTATAGATTGTTCCTTTTATGAATTGTGTAAAATGTAAACAGTAGTGTTCAATAGTAAAATATAATTTGTTTTTAAAGTTTCATTATAATTATGGTTATAATTATCATTTAGTTAAACAAAATGTGTTAAACTAAAACATATATTTATTTTTTCATAGCAATAAATATAACAGAAAATGTTTAAACTATCAGTTATAATTAAATAATATCAATTAAATTAAGGGCAATTTACAATGTTTATAAGAATTACAAAATTTATATTTATAATATTAGTACAGGCCTTATATAGGTTTATATAGGTTTATTGTAGATAGAAAATATGGCTTTCTAAATACTTTTTTGTACAAATCTATAATAAATAAGTTTTTTACACTGTACGACAATTTCCACTAATTTTAAGAATTTACAATTAGGGAATAGAGCGTCATCTGTAGATGGCGTGTATTGTCACTGTTGGTAGTGTGTATTATACTATATCGTCTACCATCTGGCAACACTGTGTAGTTCGCAAACAGTGTCGTAGTATAGGAAGGTAGGAAGTTGTTCGGTTGCGCGGGCAGACGTTGGATCGTTGAGTTTGCTGAGCGTAACGAAGAGAAAAATGGCGATGGCAACAACTCAAGTTAAAGGAAGTGGATGGCCGAGGAGAGCAAGTAATAGTTCGTTCGAAGGGAAAGTGGTACAGAACCAGTCTGTAACTATCAACAGGACAGTTAATTTGTAAGTGATAATCAATATGTGATTTAATTACATTATTTTTTAGAGTTAATGTTTTGACTGCCTCTCCTGTAGAACACAACTATGGCCGGTTAAGAGACGCTAGCAATTAAACTTATGTTCCTAACACCTTTCAATGCATCTTACATGGTACAACCATGAGACGGCTGTTCACCTTTTTGTTAAGTAACTATGGAAATTTTAAGCACCATCTGAATCGAATTTCTACAATAATAATTCGATTTAATGATTTATCTTCACGCGCCATAATACGACATAACCAACTGTTTTATTGTTTGAATATTTCGATTAATGTGTATGTTCATATTCTCATATATACATATATATAAATATATATGTATACCATTTGTTGAATAAAAACCATTAACGTTTGCTTAAAATTTCCAAATATAGGTAAAAATTATACCCTCTGTGCTCCATTTATATGGAGTATGTTATATTTGAACTATACTAAGTTCTGATTATTAAGAATCTAAAGAAAATTTAATTTCTATTATAACGTTACATTTGTACGTACTCAGTATTAATGAATTTATGAAAGCAATAGCCACTGTGTATTAAGCACATTGGCCACTTTTATACATTGAATGTATATTTGCGTGCAAAATACTTTTTGTTATTTCTCATAATCATCGTAATAGCTGTTAAACAGTGACTGTTATTTTGTAATGCGTATGTACTTAAATTATCACTGTTCATTACTTTTACTTGTACGATATAAATTACTTTCATGCCCATGTAAAACGAGAAATGTACAAAATAATTATGCAAGTCACATTGTTGCGTTCTAAGAATTATGCAACCTGTAATTCTTCTAATTAAAACTGTTTGTATTTTTTTTATTCATAAATTGGCTATTCATAGATCATGTAAAATGAAACTTCCAATATGAAATATTTTGTATTTACACTATTGTGGATGTATTTGTCTCATGCTAGATAGTTCATAATTGTGTCTTATTTTTAAATCTAAGAAAACATACACATAATTGTCAGAAAAGGTTTTAACCAATTTTTTATGAAATGGAAATTGATCGTTTTAAAGCTGATATGAAGACTTGATATAAAAAGATATACATCACACTTTGGGATTTACATCCTGTATTCATGCGACATTTGTAATGTTTCATATATGCAATTGAAGAATGTAACCGATACACTATGTACCTATGAAAACATTACAAAATATTTTCTTAATTTGTGTGGTGTAATGAATCAACAATATAGATATAAGAAAATTAACAAAGTATTTACATTTTGGCATGCAAATATTTATGATTGCGTAGCAATAAAAATATCAGAATTTACTATTGATATAGAGTATGCAAAATGTATTGTGTTTTATTATCACATTACATGTGTGGAAAAAAAATGATTAAACTATAATATAATAGCAATATAAACATAAGTATTAAGTACTTTAAAAGGAAATGATATAAACATGTTTGGTTAAACAAGCTTATGGCTAATGTAACATGTAATACTATAAGTACTACACTAATGTGTATATATCAGTTTCAATTGATATTTTGTACTATACTGTTAAGTAACCACATTGTATGTGGTTTCTATATTAAACTTTTCAATTATTTAAAATGATGTTCCGTTTCACTTGTTATATGATACTTTGTTGAACCTTGTTGAACATTGTATTTATATACAAGCTTTGTAAATCTTACGGGTAAATGTTTTATCAATACCTGTTTACAATTTTATTATGTGTTTTTTATTTAATGTATACACATTTTTACATGTGAAAATTGTCAGATAAAAGCAATTGTTTTTATACTATGAATTTGTATATTGTTCTTCTTGCTTGCATGAGAAATAATATTTTCCTTTTTATATCAAATATGGAAGTTTGTATAAAGTTACTGGGGAGAAAGTTACATGCTCAAAATATCCAATGCATTGTGAGTATCTCCACAATCTTTATGATTATATATTGTATTACTGCTTGTGAAATAGTGTTGAAGAAACTGGATTTAGTTACTGAAGGATTATGTTAAACATATAAGAACCTAACACAAAAATACAACTCATTTATCATAGATATCCTTTGACAAACTATACATTTGGAACAAAAGAGCCACTCTTCGAGAAAGATCCATCTGTACCAGTAAGGTTTCAGCGCATGAGAGATGAATTTGACAAAATTGGAATGAGGCGCAGTGTAGAAGGAGTCTTACTGGTACACGAACACGGATTACCACACGTCCTCCTTCTACAATTAGGAACAACATTCTTCAAGTTGTAAGTTGTATTATTCTTTCAAGTATAGTATTCTTTGAACCTTTATTGGTATATGATAATTTTTTTATTTCCTTTTTTTTTTAGACCTGGTGGAGAACTAAATGCAGGAGAAGACGAGGTAGAGGGCCTAAAACGGCTCCTTACAGAGGTAACAGTTAGCACGACGCCTAATGCTACCTTACGAGGTAGCTAGGAGTGGCATTTTGATATGTTAGATTGTAACACTGTTTATCAACCTACTATACCAATCCTAAAAATGTTTGTAGAACTTATGTAACCGGGCCTGTAGCTCAAAATAGGGACTTTTTAATTTATTACATTAGGATTTATACTTTAGTGTGCTGCATGCCCGGACACTTCAATGTTCGTAGTCATAAAAAAATTGTAACTTATTACTTTATATAAGAATCATGGTTAGCTAAGAACATTGTTCTTATTTCGCTCGTTGTAGGTGTTAGTCCAAACGTAAATGACGCAAACCACGAAGATTGTAACATTATATCAAGAAGACTGTATTGTACAAATTGTTATTAACTTTTTGTTGTGATCCGTGAAAAGAATAATGAAAGGAAAAATTGTAAGGAATTATACATAGTTCTAAAAATTCTTGGTGATACGTTATTAATTGAAACATGCACGACTATGACTTCCTTGTGTTATCAATAGGTAGTTCTCAAGTTTTTATGCATTTCACAAGTTTCTTATTAAAATAACGCATTTATGTACAACAGCTGTTTCATTCAATTAGGTATCTGTAAGCAAAAAAAGTTGAAAGTATTTTAGAAAATACTTTTAGCTTATATTACTGATATACAAAAGTAACAGGAACATATTAGGGAATCGTTAATGAGGTTAAATGTTAACAAACTGAATAATATTATGCAGATATTTTAAATATATAATAAAATTGTGTAACCATGTTCTTAGTGGACTGAACGAAGAAGGATGTATTTTAAACGCGTATATCAGACATTTATGAAGTGTAACATAATAAAGGTAATATATACTTTAATTTTTAATTATTTTTTAGACATTCGGACGTCAAGATGGAGTCAAACAAGAATGGGTAATAGAAGATACCATTGGGAACTGGTGGAGACCTAACTTTGAACCACCTCAGTATCCTTATATACCACCACATATCACCAAACCAAAGGAACATAAAAAGTTGTTCCTCGTTCAGTTACAAGAAAAAGGTAATTATTACATTTGAAAATATTTTCCTTTAATAACAAATTTATTGATTAGCAATATAAATTTCTTTCAGCTTTATTCGCAGTACCAAAAAATTATAAACTAGTCGCCGCACCATTATTCGAATTGTATGATAATTCGCAAGGTTACGGACCTATCATTTCGTCTTTACCACAGTCACTTTGCAGGTAATTAAAACGTACTGTACTATTTATGTAATGGATATATTACTTTTTCCTAAATTACACTATATTTTTGATTTCAGATTTAATTTTATCTATATGTGAAAGAGAAAGTAACATAAGTGAGAAAGTGAAGTAATTTTATTTAAGTTAACAGAAACTACTATAAATACATGTATGTATGAGATGACGAATGAAACGGCAAAAAAAGACTTCTGTTCTATGTATAATATGACGTGCACTAAAAATTAAATCATTTTTTAAGTAGTACTTATACAATTCATTCGCACTTTTAATCTCTAATCCTTGTATTTACGTCATTTTTCCACTGTATGCTTACCGATAGCACGATTAAATCAACATTTACTCTAAGATGTATATATATATATTGTTAAACCTTATCGTTTATATGTATAATTGTGAAACGTTTTAACTTTATGTTATGAATTCTATCAAAAAAAGTATTGAATTTATTATACATATAATTTTATGACAAATGTAATTTTGTAAAACCATAATATAATTCATAAAATTAAAATCTTATTGAAATTAAATTTGATATTAACAAAAAATGTTTATGTCAATTAATAGAAACTTCCCGTTGATAATCCTTTTCTCAGTAGTTGTTATCAAGACTAAATTATAATTGGGAAATTATAGTGTTAACATTCGTTTGTTCAACAATTAAATGTAATAGTGAATAAATAATGTTTTATTTCATTCTCCTAATGCAAGAATGAAATGTGCATCCATTAAAGGAAAGGGGTATTAAATATTTGTTATCTTTACATATGAAGTTTGGATCGCCATTTTGTATTTGCCACCGCTCAAGAAGCACATGTATTTGACACTGTGAAACGTCAATGCGTTTATTTGAAATGTTATTAGATTTTTTTATTTAATGTAACAAAAAGATGTCGAAATACTCAGAAATAGATATGGAAGCAGAATCAATTATGAGGAAGGTACATATAAAAATTGTATTTTAACCGTTTTTTTATCCGACATATAAATGATCTTAACCTGTCTTTATTGTTTTCACCGCATTAATTTCATATGCTTCAGATGCAAAAAGTGGAGGATGCTTTGCAAGATTCTTTGCATAGGGTTCATATACTTGAAAACAGATTGAAAACAAAATTGTTGACAATGGAAAATCGTGAACGGCTAGAGACTGAGCTTGAAGAAGTTAAGGAGGTACTTAAGAGGAATGAAGAAAAATTGTTAAGCTTAAGAAAGCAGAACAGAAAGACTTACATGGTAGCAGCGAGCATGGTTTTTGCATGTTTTTTACTTTATGGATTATATTTAATGATTTATGGAAAATTATAATTTTTTACTGCATATTTCTAGAAATTTTGTATTAATGTGTATAATATTAAAATTTTATTAAATAAGTAATATAAATATGTATTAATAATTCTATGCTCATTGACTGCCATAAAAACAAAGGAGTCTATAAGAATAAGGTTTGGCATTCTTTTGGATCAAACATTTTTTATGTAATATCTGTCACTATGCAATTATAGTTATTTAATAATTATATTGCACTTTATTATAGTTTTGAAGGTTTGGCTTGAAAAGGAAGAAAATTAATGATGCAACACTTTTATTAATTACATTTTGCAAACATTTATTAGAATTTAATGTCTTAGATTTAATGGAACAGTTTTATATATTAGATTTACAGCTGAGTAACACGGTGCTATATTTCATTAAGTAACAATATAATTTTTTATAATGAAAATAATATATTTTTTTCATTTTTCATATAAGTATAGTCTTTTTATTATAAAGCATAATAGTAATTGCATTAAAGATAAAGAAAAAAATGCATTCTTTATGTTAGTCTTGTAAAGAACATTTCTGTAAATAAATGAATGTTACCTATTAGACTATTACCAACATTATAGTTACTGTTTTTCTTTGAATACAATATTGTGTATTCCTAATACAAGTATTGATATTATTAAATTAAGCAGTAACTAAATCATATTGCGGTGTTCCAGCAAGGCGACTTTGCATGTATTTAGCATGCACTTCAGTATCTAAGTAACTATTTTTTACTGCTGCATTTTCTTTCATAGCAGATCTCCATTCCAACTGAAATTGTAAATAAATGTGTTTGTAATTATGTATTATTTATACATAGCAACTTTATACCAGTCTATTGAAATAAAACATACCAGTCTTTTGAAACGATCTTGAGGTATAACATATTGTTCTCCACGTAAAACTCTAATCATATCTGACCTTTCCCACCATGGCCAAATCATGAAATCCAACATTCCAGGAGAATTTCCACCATAGAAAGCTGTTCCTCTCTTTGCAAGTTCTTTTTCAAACCGTTCTAGACCAGCTAGTGCCTCCTCAAAGACGTCACATCCTACACTTGTATTCAAATACAACTAAAATAAATGAATTTTTATTATATGTTATGAAAAATGATACAAACATTAATATATATGTATTAATATATATGTACTTTATATATAATACTTATAACAGAATTGAATTTGTCAATCAATAATTTATCCTTAGCTTTTGCTAGAGGATCACGTGGATAAAGTTTATTTTGTGGATATGCTTCATCCAAATATTCAGCAATTATAAGACTCTCGTATAATGTTTCCCCTCCATCTAATTCTATACAAGGAACTTTACCATAAGGACTTTTTTCCAGTAACCAATCAGGTTTATTTGTCAAATTAATATAAACAACATCATACCTGTGATTATATGATATAAAATTGAAATACAATATTTATTTATATAATATGGAAAATAAATATGATTAGTAATTAGTCATACAAGCTAAAATAAATATGAAACGTGCATTAAGGATTTACTTTTACATATAATGAAAGGAACATAATTGGAGTTTGATTTTTAGATTAAATTACATACGGTATCTGTTTCGCATCAAGTACTAAATGAATTCTTTGTGCGTACGGACAAAATCGCATGCTATATAACCGTATTTTTCCAGGTATTGTAGGTGGAGCAACAGATCCTGAAAGACAGTTTTATTACGATTATTCTGTATTAACATTAATTTCGAATTTCATAAGGATAAGATCTTACCGATAGACAAATGTTTTGAACTCATTGTGTCTGATTTGTTGATTGAAAATTTGTCGAAGATTCCTTAGAAGTGCGTAATTTTCCTTTCACTCCGAATGATATGTTACTTTCCTTGTAACCCACACTAATAAGTGATGCTGTTTATCGAGGACTTGAGACGCAGATTATTAATCGTTAATCGTCTCTCTAGAACTGGCATATATATTTTTATCCCAGCTATAAAACGTTCTCAAAGTCATTGGAATGTAATTCAAATTTAAATCTTTAATACGAGCTAACGATATTTCGTGTTTTTCCACAATGGAAAATTTTCTATTAGACACATTTGAAAGTTAAACATTATTTTTCATACATGCTAACACTTGAGAAAGAAATGTCTAATGTTTAGTGCAAAACTTTCAGTGCCGTATACCTAGGAATATTTTGTGTTTATATGTTTGACTTAAAAGACTAGACAGTACCGCTATCTTGGTTATCATTTTTGGAAATTTTGAAACATACGCACAAGTGCTGTCATGTAAGTGTTTTTTACTAAATTTGATATTGTTTCTATCATTTTATTTTGTTTAACTAATTTAAAATTTATATTAAAGGTGTATTATTTCTGAAGCAGTTATCGATATGAAATTGAAAACATTTATTAAATTTTCGCGGCGAATGAAAAATCTAGTCTATGAGTGATTGTTGTACGACATTGAACTTTGGTACGTACATTCATTTTCTCAATTACATCTAAATTGTTACTTAAATAATTATGACCTATTAATAAGCAGCGATACGTATATCTGCATTTGTATTCAATATATTTCAAATACTTGAATGCTGAAAATAAATATGGATTCTTGACTTCCAATAATCTTAGTAATTGTATACACAGTTAAAAGATGGCGGTACTAGAATAATTAAATTAGGAAAGAATTCTTGATATTAAATTATTTATCTATTGAAGTATGAAAAAATATTTCATTCTTATGGTAGATAATTTCATAAATTGATTTATGTACCGTTTGTGCCAGCAAAAACATATACTCAAGGTAAAGTTTGTCCATTAATACATACTCGTAGAACTCAAGAACTTTTAGGAGTAGCCATTATTCACAATGTACAAGTTCCATTGTTTTTTAAAATTATGTTTATATTACAATTATTTATAAATATTATTGTTTTATGTAATCCGAATTATTAAAACAAAAAATTAAATTAATATAAACAGAAAATTAATAACTTATCGAGGTGAATATTTTGAAGTAAGCGATACTCCATTGCCCACGTGACCGGAAGATCAAACATGTCCTCCATGATGTATTCTTTCCTTGAACACTATTTCCCAAACATTTAGCCCTGAAATGTTTATTAAAGAAAAGCTTATTAAAAGAAAAGAAGTACAATTTTTTCATAAATTACGGTGAAAAAATAAACAAATTAAATTTCAAGCCACATCTATGATTACTTCAGTCACCTCTTTCCATTTGCAATCTTCCCTGATATCTCGCCCAGATTCCATTAAAGAATAATAATGATTTAAAAAAGCGTACCTCAAGGGCTCGAAATATTGTTCCTGAATGAGATCTTCCAGTATCTATGTAACAAGCGAAGAAAAAACGAAACGATGTCGGGTATGGTGGCAATCTTTTCTAATTACCGCCGACTATCATCGAAAAAAAAGGCTTCCTTATCCTCCGTTGTCCATGAGCCGCACGATTTTACTTTCCCCAATGAAACACCGAGAAGGAGGTTAAAGCGTCAATTGGCGGGTGCCACTCGCCCCGCTCGCCTCTGATGATCAAGACCTAGACTACTATCCGGTGGTAATAATCGTACACACGGAGAGGATCAGTCGGCCGGTTGGCCTGGTAGCTAAGTGGTAGCGGCGAAGGACACGTGTAGGTGGAGACAAGGTAACGGGAACGGGGGGTGAACTAGGGGATGGAAGGTAGTCGAAGAGGGCTAGGAAGTCGGGTCGAACGTGGGAGAGGCGGAGGGAATGAAGGGGGTGAACAGCCTTGGTGGAGGACGAGGAGGAACGGCGCGAGCGCTGATTGGTAGCAGAATCGATTAGCCGAGCCGGGCTAAACCTTCGGCACCGCGTCGGCTTCGGCGACGCCACGAATTTCCCGAATGGGGGTTTCCCGTTGGGGCGGGCCCGAATCCAGGGAATACCTCGGCGTTCTCCATGGCAACCCGACCAATTCGCCAACCGCCGACAACCGAGGCTGACCTACCCGTGTGTTGCTTATTTTTCCTACGTCTCCCTCTCGCTCTACCCTGCGTCCCACCACCTGTGCACTTTTTTCCCCTTTCCTCTATTCCAACCCCTCCAGAGGAGTCCCTCATCCTCGTCCCGTAGGCGGCATCCCTTTGTCGTTGCCGCTCCTTTCCCCTTTGTTTCCTATTTTTCTGGGTTTCGTTTACGCTGCTGCGGCGGGCGACGGGGAACCAGGTATTTCACCAGACTTTCACCTCTTCCTCCGCGGAGTGACTTCCCCGCACAAAGCTCGAGCGGTCGCGCGCGCGCGTTAGCGAGGACCAGCGTGTTACGCAATCTCTCCGTGTGCAGACGGTGCCACAGACACCAGAGAGATACACAGAGAGGAGCCACATTGATTTTGCCGACGACTGATACAACCCCGTCGGCACGTTTAATTAGAACATGGCGACTTTAATACAAGCGCACGACAACAAGAACAACAACAGCGCCCCTTCCCCCGCACCCCTACTCGCCCGACCGACTGCTGTGTCCCTTCAACGTCCACGCGTCCCTTGATCCTTTCCGTATCGTTTCTTTTCTTTTTTTTCCATTCCTTTCCCCCCGGTTTCTCTGCGATGATGGCGGTTGTCGGCACAGTCTTCCCGACCTCCGACCGAAACTCCTCTTCACCGATTCGAAGGGGTCGCTTATCTACCTAGCCTAACGCGGTCTATACTAGTGCCAAACAACCCGTCGTCCGCTCTTTCTCTCTCTCTCTTTCTCTCGCTCGCTCGCTCGCTCTCTCGATCTCGTTCTCTCGTACCACTCATCCGTCATTGTCATCGTCATCATCATCTTTATTATTATTATCATTCTCGTACAGGTTTCGAAAATCACGCCCGTTCGTGCTCACACGCGCACCACACGACACACACGTACCATTTTGCATTCACGCGCACAGATTATCGATCTCGTTCGATCGCGCACACGTTAATACATTCTCGCGCTATGACTATGTCCTCTACACGCCTACGCTACACATGAAAACACCCTATCTACATTAGAGCCCCTCGACGCTCCACGAAACCAGCTTGGAAAATGAGGCTCGGACGGGCTTAGCTTCGCTCGGCGTTGGCCTGGCCGCGCGTTGAACTGGTATTTCGAACGGCTGCATATCATAGATACACTGCTCGGTTTGAAAATATTTTGATCGACGCTGCCTTCCTTCTTCTAAATGAAGGTCGTTCAAGTTTCTTTTTAACTTGACATCTCGTTAACCCTTTAACCACCGCTGTTGTAGTCCATCGCCTGTTGTTTGTAGTTTACAGACACAAGATGCTCTATTGATCATTTACAAATGTGTCCAACAAAACATCATTTTAACCCCTTGCCTTCTAGTATCGATTCAGATTCATAAAGCTTCCAAACTGAGTTTAGATCTAGATATTGTCCGCCTTTTTTTAACCGAAATGAAACATTATCTTTTTCTAATTAACTTATTAGTAGTTAAAATAAACATAAGTCTGCAGTAAACATAGAATTTCACATTCTTCTACCTAATCATTAAGAACAAAGTATCTTCGGAAAACCACAAATGAAATATTGAAGCAAGTGGTCAATCTGCGTAAAAGAGTTAGCGAGCATCCTGATAACCTCTCCAAAAAATGTTCTCAATTATTCAAATATTTTTCGATCAATTCTCAAAATCCTCCAGAATATCGTTTATAAACGACCACCGCCGGTTCCGCCATTCCCGGTCGAACGTCCGTCGGTGGATGATTCCGGGGAACGCCCGACGGGCCTGTTACGCTAATCGTTAGAGTAATTCTAGGGATGCTTTTTTGGGGGTCTTACGAATGGTATGATACAGTATACGACTTAAGGAGTTACGCTTCTTCGACAGAGGTACACCTTTTCGCGCGGCGGGCTGGGTCGCCATTCGGCTGGCCCGGTGGACGGGGATTTCCTGGCCGTCCGGCATCTCCTGGTGACCCTGTCCCACCGTTTCTTCCCACATAGATAGAGCGACCGCATCACTCGCGGCTGATCGACGATGAACGACGGTGAGAACGCGGCTACGGGGATCTTACGCTCGGCTTTTGATATGACTCGATGTTGTACTTTTGGAATTTCGATTGATGTGATACAGGTTTCGCGTTCGGATAGGCGATCGGTCGATTCTCCCGGGTAGAGGAAGTCGCATAGCCTCCCGTATCCGAAAGTGCGCGAAAACTTTGATAATCGAAGATTCTATAAACTGCAAATGTAGCGTTTCTCAGCAAGTAATGCTGTTTTATTAACTTATTTTATTTTTCAATAATAAATTCATAGAAGTTTTAGAAAGTCTACTACATCTACATTTACAAGGTATTTTTTTCTGAATCGTGTAAATGATCTTTTTTATTGGAAAGGCTACTTTCGAAAATCGCGGGACAGATTAATATGGTGATACACTGCCATTTCTGGAATTTATAGAGGTGTGATTTTCCTTTGTTTTATCGTGAGAAGTGTATTAGTTGTTCATGGGTACACTGTATTTTTGTAGATAGATTGAAGAAGGGTTGCAATATCTCAAAGTATAAAAAGGATATTCATATATGCAAATTTTAATTACTGGATTTCTGAGACGAATGCTTACATGTTTTTATTAGTTTGGATACGGAAGGCTCTACTCCACTTGCCAAGCGCTTTTTTCGCTATTAGTAATAAGTTCTCCCACAAATTCGTACTCGTCAATCTTTAAATCATAATTTAAGTGAATCTTGTCAGTACTAAACATTGATGAAGAAACTCTTTTCTGGGACCACTTGCTACTACAGCGGCGTTGTACTCTGATTTGTTTATTCATAATGAGAGTCAACTTAAAAACATAATATACATAAAACTACTATGGCATGAACTTATAGGAACATTTAATGCCTCCAAATCCTTCGAATTATGCTTCTAATTGCAGTTGTTTTATTGAACCATTCTAAACAATTCTTTGTCCTCTCATAAAACTTCATAAACTGTATAAATATCCAAAATTCTAAGCAACTAATTAAAATACAGTAAGAAATATATAAATTTCGATTTTTATTAACGAACGGTTAGTTTTTAGTATTAACGAAAAGAAAAGTCGTGAAGGATACTTCGACCGTCGCTAATCCGAAACGAAAAGCGTTCACTGGTCCGTGGACCACCCAATAATGGTAAAAATTTCGTTGGTCGCTGGTAATTGAGTCAGGTTGCTACGACCGAACCACTAAATCTCGAAAATTCGTTGTAAAATCATACTTGTCCGGTTGGTCAGAGTGTTACAAGTCACAAGGGTCGTAGAAGAAACCTCTCCCTCCCTTCCCGAAATAAAAAATAGGGTACCAATGCGAGCGCGCGTCCCTTGAACGTGCGCCAACCTCGAGAAGCATGCCTCGCGATGATTTTTTCTCTCTTTCGTTTTCCTTTTCTTTTTTCTTCGTTTTTTTTCTTTGTTTACGAACGGTGATATGCGGTTCCTCTATCTATACATCGTTATGTAACAAATAAGTTAAAAGAGTTTATAATACACGCATTACTCTTGACCCGAATCGAACATGGCGCACATTTCATCGATGACGGAGGTGTCGTGGCATCGCTGTGTCTTGTTTTCAACGCTTTCCGTGACCGTTGTTGTATTACCTTTTTTCAAATTGATCAATTATATTGGTATTTTAAACTTAAATTTTCACTTTGTTTAAAGAAAATATTGTTACTTTAAAATTTGGAACCTCTAATATTTGTAAAATGAATCAAATCAAATTTATGTCAGAAAGATAAACGTTTGTTTTCCACATTTGTACATATTATGAACACGTTGTTTGTACATGTAACGAAATAATATTGAAAATTGCTCTCATGTTCAGTAAATAAGGTGATTCAATTAATATACCAATTTTTCATATTTTCTTGCTGATTTCGGGGATGAAACACCAGTCGCGAAAGCATCATCTAGTCCTTCGAATCGAGTCTATCACGAATTGATTCTGAATGGACACCTTCGATACCTTTTTGTTCGTTCATCGATTAGTTGACACGTAAAATGTGCATGCTCGATTCCATCCAGTCGGAAATGCCGGCGTTGCTTTACGGAAGCCGCCGGTTTGTTATTCCCGCACAGGACGACGTTCCCTTGGACAGGATCATTCTCGGCACACGATTTATCCTGGAGTTTATAATTCAGTATTGCGAACTTCGAAGATTTGGTAATCTTGTTACTTCAAAGGAACGAATAAAATCAATTGTTCATTTATTATGCATTGTAGGCTCCACAATCTTAGATAAAATTTATAAGATAACGAAATTAAAAAATTCGAAAAAGGTATTAAATTTTCCATAAGATTGCGAAACAAACTAAAAATGAAACTAAAGAATTTTAAATTCTACGATACGAACTTAATCCTATTATTAGTTTCGAACCAAGAATAAATCGATTGTCGAGAATTTACCTGCGAACGTGCGACCCTGCACTTACGTAATCCATTATATTGTATGTACAACGTTCTTACAATAATTCGAGCGCACCGTCGGCCGTGAACAAGGATGTTTCCGGTACAGTCTCCACGCGTGATCGTAAATTTCATGAGTGTACGTTATTTTCATTGAACAATGATCGAAGATACATTCTCCAATCCGTCTGCTTTTTGACTATGTTCATTCAATAATTCCGAGTCACGAATTTACGTTCATGAAGTAATATTTGAGTCATGCGAATTGAATTGAATAGATCCCTCGTTCTTATACAATTATTCTCTTCGATTTCTCTGATTGAACAACGATAGAAAATGACTTGGCATTTAAACGAAACAGAAAATGTATATTATAAAAGACGTAGTAAATGAATAACTGGAAGCACTTACACATCTCCGTTGTTCATATAAATAAAAAAAGGCAATAAGAAAGAAAGTCGATTGTTCGATAGCAGCCCTAGAAAGTAAAAATAGATGAAGGAAACCCACGTTATAATATTCCTTCTAAACGACATTTTTGTATTTCCTCCTCGTTTCCTTCATTTTAAAACTCTATACCCCAAACAATTAAAAAGTAATGGGAGAACTATAAAATTTGTTTACGATCCTTTTAAATCAAACTTCTGTACACCTAGCATCGCCGATGAGCTTCCAAATTACTTGAAACTGATAACAAAATGTAGACCGATGTCAAATCAAAACATTCAATTACCTAAGTAACTAAACAACACCGTAACGTAAAACGATGATACCAAATTCCGAATAATTATTTCAAATATCATTCCAATACCTCTTGTCACGAAAGAATAAGCTATATCATACAAAACGCTAAAAATTTTTGTGCGTTGGTAAATATGTTAAGAAAGAAAAGAGGAAAATGTCCATCCAAGCTGCGTACCATAGTTCTTTCATCGTTGGTAGTCGCCGGCGTTAAACGAACGACGCGGAGACGGTATAAACGCAGGCCGACGGTACACGTCGGACCGGTCGGGTGGTCCCCGAACAGGCCCTCTTAATTCTCTCGGTAAGAAACTCGTTAACGCGGCGTACCCAGGGCGCCCCAGTGCTCGGCGGTGGGTCATGCGTAGTGGGGGTAGGTGCCCAGATGGGGCGGCACATGACCGGAGGCCGTGTGGTGACCCGCGTACAGGTTCGCGCCGGGGCTCGTCGACCAGTAGCTGGACGCTGACTGGAACAGCCCGCCCGGGACGGAGACCGACACGGAGGCGGCTGGCGGCGGCATCAGGTTCAGCTTCGCATGACCGTAACCAGACATGAACAGCTCGCTCTGGTATTTGTACGCGGCTGGGTCCGCCGCCGCTGGCTGCGTCGCCGCTGCCAATCCCTGGAAGTCAAACTTGTACGCGTACCTCTTCCCGTGCACCTTCGTCATGATGTTCTTGTCATAGTAGTACCTGCAATCAGAGAGGATCATCCTCTTTCTTCTTGCGAATGCCTCGACTGCCTTGGGGTCTTTTAGGTGTGAAATGTGAAGTTAGGTTGGTTGGATGTTTTGAATTTGGGTTCTTTTCTTGATTCTTTGCAAGTTGTTCGATTTATAAGGGATATTGTAATATATACAGTGTTTTATGAAATATAGAAGGTTTTGTGGAGAAATTGGATTGATCAGTGAATGTTATTAAATGATCTGGAATTGAATACAAGTTGGAAGGCTTCAGCTTTCTAAAAAAATAACTATTAAAATAATAATTATAAATTAAAATAATAATTATATTTATTTCATAATAGCTTCTTTAATAGTAAATAGCGCGAATCAGAGGATTTTGAACTATAGTACCTTTAACAATTACATAACGCGAGAGTTGCTTCAACGAGTTCACAAGTTCACACAAAATATCACAAAACTACAAGACTCAAACTCTGTTCAACTAAATCGTTGTTGTTCCGAAGGTTACTAGGTTTCTACGAAACCCAATCGATTCTCCATTCTCAGTCAATTTCGAACCGAAAAGAAGTCTCATTCCAAAATAACAAAGACGTTCCACAAACTTCCAAACCCGCCGAGCAGACACCGCGATCGCCAACAAACAAAGAACACAATCCTATCCCCAATCTGTTCAATAGATGCCACGATCCGCCCCATTATCTTGCTCCGCGAACTTTCTCGGAAAATACTCCGGGTTTAAAAAGGGTCAGAAAATCCGAGTTACCATCGATTTCCTCAGGCTTCCTACTCGGAAACGCGAGGAATAAAAAGCTTCATCGAGCGTTCGCCGGTCATATTTCTCCTCCAGAT